AAAGCCTGTACATTTAATTATCATTAGTTAATTTTTGTGTTTAAAAAGCTGTAGTGGATAATATCTTAAATCTCAGATTATTCTGGTTTCATCTTGAATTTTTACATTTTCTTGTTCTGTTCATCCTTTACTTCCTGCAGAAAGACAATAGGGTCCAATCAGGAATTTAAATCACAAGAGTCGTGATTACAGAGCTAAACCACACTAATAGTTTGCTTAGACAAGAAGTAAATTCTTCATTCCTATTGTTCAGATGCCTTTCAAATGGTACCTAACACATACCAGATGTCTGCAGCTACTGGAGTATCATGGAGTAGCAGGAAATCACCATGTTGTTCCTTTCCTCATCTCTTATTTCAGTAGGTCTGTGCAGTCTGTGGTGAAAAGACAAAACTTCCAGTCTGAGTTTTCATTCTAAACCCAAGTTTTGATGATCAATGACAGGATGCTAAAAATACACCTAAATGTCTCTGTGATTCTGAAATTGAGTTTCTGAAGAAGCATTGTACTTGTGGTAAGAGGTAAAGTGTAAAGTTCCAGAGAAATGAGCTGTGAATTGCAGCTGCAATGGAAATTGATCCTGTCTGTCAGTCTCTGCTCCATATTCTCAGGAAAACAGAGAGGAGCAGAGAAGGAGCCAAGATCACCGATTAAATTGGATGCTGAAGTGCCAGGGGCTAGAACTGGGCTTGCTGGTCCCTCAGGTCACAGCTGCAACTGTCAGACTTCACTGCTTGATACCCTGCTGAAGCTGGCAGAAGGAGAGCAGTATGAAAAATGCTGCAGGCACTGGCAGGGGAATTAGTAAGAACTACCTGGCTAAGCTTCAGGCATGACAGGCAGTGCGCTCCTGTGGGAGGAAAACCTCTTCTCTTATGAATTGGTAGGCCGTATTTTCCCCATTCACCTCATGATTTGTACCGGTGAGGCATAAGAAAATAGCTGGAATACAGCAGAGGCTCAGTTCATCTGGAGAACTGCAGAGCGAGTGGAGAGGTCTGGCTGTATAACCTCTCTGCAGGTGGGCCTTTACCAAGCAAGGAAAAAAACGAATGTTCAGCAAAGAGCTGTTGCTGTATGAGGTGTATTATGTTGCATCTAATATAATTGGTGTGGCATATTAATCTCCTTATTCATCATCATCTCTAAAAAATGTGATTTCAGTGGTGATTAGCGCTGTGAAATGGCACTTCTCAGTGTAGCTATCACTTACCTGATGCAAGGTAACAGCAGCAGACCATTGCTAGGGATGACGACCTGCAAGTACTACATGAACAGTTTGTGCAAGTCTCATGAGCACAACAGCAGCGTGTCTATAGAATGCTTGCTTTTTACTTGGAGTTGGGAACTTACCACGGGAAAGTGATAAAAAGATCCTATAGAAAATCAAATCAACTAAATGAAGTCATCATGCTGTGGTAATTAATTCAGCTTTTCCTTTTAAACCGTAGTCTTAGAATCGTGGAACCATAGAATTCTTTAGGTTGGAAAAGACCTTTAAGATCATCAAGTCCAACCATTAACCTAACCCTACCAAGTCCACTACTAAACCGTGTCCCTAAGTACCACATCTAGATGTCTAATAGTCATTAGCTGTCAATGGTTTTGCGTTGCTTAATGGTTTTATTTCCCCAAGTACCCTGCATCCTTCATCATGGGGAGCATATACTTTCCAGTGTATTAGAAGTGATGTAGTGTGCTCTCAGAACTATATCATGTTAAATATTTCTCTGGGGTATACAGTGTTACCTCCAGAGAAGCTCAGTGCTAACTCGATCAAATGGAAACTTGTTTTTCTATCTTTTATTGCAATAAGTGCTATTTTTCATGGCTGTTTTGGGCCACGTGGGTTTTAAATCCAGAAATTCCATTGTTACCTTAGCTTTTCTTTATGGTTAAAAGTAGACATGTTTCCCTTCATCCGTTTTCTGCTTACTGTATGAATTAACTGAATTTAACCAAAAAACTGTCATGTACTTTAAGCATATAGATCTGTTATGACTGAGAACTCAACTATATAGAGCAGATGAGAACTGATATTCTCAGGTCTGTAATGAAGTCACATCTGATAAAAGAAAGAAGTGTGGTATTGGAAAGAAAAATTAAATAAAGCAAATAAAGTAGTGATAATTCAGGAATTAGGTTTATTTGATGAAAAAAATAATAAAGCATCATCTGTTCCACTGACCATGTCCATTTTGAGAATTTAAAAGTGAGGCTGAGGTCACAAAATGGGTAAATTCTTTGGAGTACAGGCCTGTATCTTCAGAGGTTCTTTCTTGGACGCACCTCTATGGAATATTCAACCTCACTTTCTCAGTGGACAACCCCCATAATCCAGTGGTTATCCCACCCGGTGCATCATAAAAGATCTTGCTTTATTTTTCCTTAAAAGTCTTTCTCTGCTGTTTCCCAGGGATTTTTTATATCCTATCTCTCCCTTTCTTTCCACTAAGTGCTGTCATTGACTGGTTGACATGCTACACCTACCCCATGAAGGGGTCATTACAGCCCTGCCTAACCTCTGAATGGTAAGAAAAACAGATATGAGCGGTGTAGCTGTCTGATACTATAGATTACAGAATCAAGTCAGGAACCAAAGCAACCAGGGGTTTTGCCTTGTTTGATGAGCTTTATTCTGTGAATATCAACAAAAGCTGCATTGTCTCCATCTCTTACAGTCTAATCTTTTTTTTTCCCTTGTCTGTTTTGTTAGAAGTGAAAATGTATCTGTCATTCTCATAGCAATGACTTCAAGATTTAACTAGAGGGGTAACTTGTACTTTTTATTAAGGTAACGTGACATAAGAATATCTTCCTCCTGGGCAGAAATCTTGGATAGGTTTTGATCCCGTTTTTCTGTACAGCCACCTGATTTCAGTTTTATAATGCTACAAATTAGTTTTATGTCTCTAATAAAATGATTTCTCAGCTCCCCTGTGAATTTCTGATGTGCCTACTATGGAACTAAGCAGGCTGTTCCATATTCTTGCAACTAGGAACTTTGTTCTGCTGCTTAATGTTGTATGTCAGGGTCACCTTAATTTTGTTGATTTTCTAGTCCTATCCATTCAGATAGCATTACAGTTACACAGTATCCATACAATGTCCTTTGCTATTCATAGTCTAACCTAAATGAAGGAATGCTTAGAAGCTGATAGGAAACTGAAAAAAAGAAAACCTCCTTTTTTCATGAAATTTGAGATATGCATGTGTCTGAGATATGCAAAAGTAAATGCTTAAGGAAGAAATTAAAACTCCTAGGACTTTCCAGTCTTTAAGGTTTGCTTCTCATTAATCTTAATTGTTGTAGCAATAAAAAATATCCCAACACCCCAAACATCAGAATTCTTAGGTGGGGTATCTGAGTGTGGAAGCAGGTAGATGGCTCTATACTGATTTATCCTTGGTGAGGATATTTTTACCGGTCAGCCTAGTCACTAGAAAGGAGACCAGGATTAGATCTGTTACTGAATTTGGTTTTGCCATTTTGTCACCAGTTGGCAAATGTTCTGTATCGGTGATCAACACTGTTGGCTAGTGGCAATTAATTAAAAAAAAAAAAAACAAAACAGAAAAAAGAAGGAAAGAAGCTGGAGGATTTAAAAGGGGAAAAGCACCCTGCTTTGTAGTTGTTAGAGACAACAAGCAATTTCTTAACACCTTTTCTTCAAGGAGTTAAGATGAATAACGTCTTTGAACAAATATTTCAAGCATGCAGGGATTTTATTAAAAAGTAAAAAGATGAAATCCTGTGTAAATTGTTTAGAACGTTCCTAGTGAAGACATGTTGATTAATAAACATAAAAGAGGGAAGATGCATATTAATTTGTTTACGTATAAGAGGCTTCTAGCTCATTAAAAGTCTTCTAAGCATTTAACTAGTGAAGCAGATGATAAAACCAGACATTGTCTTTAATCTTGTTGAGGGCTCCAATATGAAAAAAAACCAGATTATTGCTAAATATGTATAATAGCTCTGTTAATGACAGTGTTTTGAAAATGTGGGGGGTATGTCAACTCAGTGGTTTTGCTGTAATATGGTGGAAATTTGGGTTCATTTTTCTATCTCAATTGCTGGGACCAGTAGGACTGAAGAAAATTTAACTTCATCAACCACAGTCTTTGGTTCTTGAATGTAGATAGCCGTAAGTTCTTGGGTATGATTTTGTTAGATATGATTTAGGGCTGGTAATCAAATGGGAGATCTCTAGGAAAGCTCAGATGCAGTAGGATATTGGCTGATGTGCCTCCTGTTGGTTCTTTTCATTCTTTTCTAAACCACTGCTACAAACTGAGGTATTTGCACTGTTTATTTTAGATGTGGTAAAAAAAAAAAAAAAAAAAAAAAAAAAAAGCAGCTATTAACAACTAATGCTTATGGTAAAAGAACCCTGTGGACTATTTGAAAGGAATTGGAATATTAACTTAATGTCCTGGCCAAATAGAGATTGAATAATTACATTCAGTCTAACTGAAAAACAAATTAATAAGAAAAAGCTGAAGAACCACCTAACACTTTTTTCTTTGTATGAACAGTCCTGGGGGAAAATCACCAGATATTTGCAAGTTTTCCCTAAAATTACCCTTTCTTTTTAGATGCTTGTTTTGTGAAGGTTTTTGCTCTGAAAGTTTTAATACAAATTAATCTTTTTAAAAAAATGGACATACGTATTGTTTGCAAGCAACAGATAGGTAAAAAAGTAAGTATCATTTAAGCTGTATTGTGCAGTTTGAGTTTAAGCATAAAAACTTTCTGGTATCTTGTTCTTTATTTTTCATCAGACACTTCTCTTGCCTTTTCTCTCTGATTTTTTTCCTCTGATTTTTCAGAGACCTATACTTTTATTTCCATTTGCACTATGAGAGATAAAGCATTGAATTTATGTTTCTGCTTATATGTCATATTTATAGAACTGTATAACTTCTTATTGTTCATGTTACTTACAATTATAATACGCATAAATAATCATACCAAAATTATGTTGGTAATTTTGCAGATCCAATGCGTGGGCCACGAAAACTAGAGGTTGTGGAGATCAAATCTAGACAAATCACTATTTGCTGGGAACCGTTTGGATATAATGTCACACGTTGCCATCGATACAACCTCACAGTCCATTACCGTTACCAGGCTGGAGGACAAGAGCAAGTGAGAGAAGAAGTAAGCTGGGATACAGAAAGTTCACATCCCCAGCACACAATTACTAATCTATCACCATACACAAATGTCAGCATCAAATTAGTACTAATGAATCCTGAAGGACGAAAAGAAAGCCAAGAACTTGTAGTACAAACTGATGAAGATGGTGAGTTTTTGTATTTACATATACATATACGTTGTATATGCATACTGCCTGATAGTATGCTTTTCTGTATAAGTGCATGTTCTACTTTCACTGAAATATGTAACAGATTTTCCACCAACTTCAGCAATTTTAAGGCAGCAAAGGGTCCGTTAAAACTGTTATAATGATCTTTTACATAACCAATAACATCACACATCATTTAATCATTCCTTCATTAAACTCATAACTTGTGCTTGAACTATGTTCTGCCTCTTAAAAGTTCCAGTATCAGTTTGAAGAACTTTCAGGTGATTGTCCACCGTATCCTCATTTAAGTTTTTCTGTTGAGTGACATGCTCAACATTAAATACTTGTTCTTGATTTGCATTTTCAGTTTCCCTAGCTTTCGCTTTCCAGCCACTGGATACTGTTAGTTGCTTATTCAGACAATATATTCCATATACAGGCATTCAAATATATAGATACTCCCTTCCTTTTAGTAATTTTCAGCTAACATGGGGTTTTTAGACTTCACTTTTTTTATTTTGAGCAATAGCATAATTTGTGAGTATCTTTTGAAGCATGGGCAGCAGAATTGGCTACTGTGTCTCTGTAAAGCTCTAGTAACACTGCACGAAAAGGTTATACCATCCTCTTAAGTGCTCTGTGGTATTAGTGTGATTATACAAGCACAGAGTTTACTGGAGCTCTGTTACCTACCAAAATGGAACTTTGTTGTTCAAATGGTCATGCACCAGGAATCAGTTTCACCTTTCCAGAACACTCTGTACTGAGGTATTGCCCCTTAGGGCCCTCTACAAGTATACCTTAGATTTTTTGACCTTGCTTTTAGTGATTTTAAAATGCATACTTTTCAAAGAAACCTTATCAAATGACCGGCATTGCTTTATATAGCAGATCTATATAACGGTTGGACTTGATGACCTTAAAAGTCTTTTCCAACCTAAATGATTCTATAATTCTATGATCTGTTGTCCTCCCATTTTTATCATCTGCAATCTGAACAGGAATGGCCTTGTATTTTCTTCCAGATCAATGATAGATTTACCGCAAATGTGTTGGAAAGCTTTCTAGAAAAAACTTCAGCAATGATTAGTTCCTCTTAAAATAAATACTTGAAGTCTGTCATTTAAACCTATTAAGTCATTTAATTTATGCTGTATTGGGTTTGTTTAGTACTAATTTCTAATCAAAATATATGAGGGAATAAATTAAACAATTTAGGAATGTATAGTTGCTAATGCAACATATTTGACAAAGCATAGCTAACAAACAAATTAGAATTAATTTTACTGTCATCCTCTGATTTTGATTTGGTTCAATTGTAGGATGACAAAGCTAAAGACCTTATTTTTATCTGGGCCATTCATGTATTTTCTCTAAAGTTTTGCATAGTATTTTCTTATTCCTGGACCTCTGGAAATTTATGTTATTCCAAGACCTACTAAAAAACAGCATCAGTGGTAGAGAGAATACCTTGGACAAGAATTATAACTTTTTAGTATACTTTCAGTAAGGTACATAATCTGGATGTAACACAACAGAATATACAGACCCAAATAATCATCATAATTTTTAGAATCACACAATCATGTAGGTTGCAAGGGACCTCCAGAGCTCATTTAGTGCAACCCTTTGCTCAGAGCAGATCGAGTGAGAGCAGATTGCTCAAGATCGTGTACAGTTGAGTTGTTAGTGTCTCCAAAGATGGAAATCCCACGGTCTCTCTAGGTAACCTCTGCCAGTGTTTGACCTCCTTTATGGCATAATTGCTCAGAGTTTATGGCCTTCAGATAATTGTAGAGAGTTACCATAGTGGTTTGCTATACTTCCAACTTATTTACACTATATTTAATTCCTCTCCCTTTACACATAAATCATTAACCCCATGATCCCAAATGAGTTTTACCAGTTCTCTGCTACTTGGAAGCAAGGTTAGTGCTCAGACTTAAGGTTGCCTTAAAGGCATAATCTTACTGGTCTGTACAGGACTGGTAAGCCAGTTCAGAAATCATCGCCTGTGTCCTTGGAGCTTCCCCTTGGTAGAGCAAGGGACTCTGAAGAGAGCTATGGAGAGGTGATTAGGTCGTCTCAAACCATGTAAACTCCCAGATCAACAGCACGGAGGAGGAGGAGCAGGAGGATAGTGCTCTACCACACTTAGCAATGAGAAGGAGTCACCAGATGTCTTCCTTTCAGATCTTCCTATTCTTTAAGCATTCAGTAAATCTGAGTAAGGGGTCTGAGAAGTGAATTACAACCACTGCAGCAAGTAGTTTCCACCTTCTTCCTCTAGCATGTGGAAAATGTTGTGCATCTTCATACTGGATTTTCACATACAGTTTTTGGAAAAGCACTAACCCATCGTTGCCTGTTGCTTCACAACAGCCCTGTGTGCATTCTTCAGGATTTTCTTTTCACATTCTGTTGCAAGAATCGCAAAATAAAATCACAGATGAATGTCCATGTGCTGTTTACACATCTCCTTCTCTGGAAACTGCGTTGAGGTTGGCTTGGGGATAAGGCAATTGTTGCAGAACAAACAGGAAACAGAAGTAGATATCTGAGAGCAGTTGACATACCTTTATCAGACCCTTTTGACTCTTCAGAGGTCATTCTCATTAATTAAGAGACTTCAAGAAAAATGAATAATGTCAGATTTCCAGTTTGGCTGCTTCATAATTTCCTTATGTTCACCCTGTTGTAGGTCTTCAGGCCTAATGTGAGCGAGCATCACTGTTCTATGCAGCATGTGGCTCTTCTTTCCAAGCTGACCATTCTAGTTCAGTCTGTTGAAACCATACCTTATTACTTCAATGCTTGTCCGTTTTCATATATGAGTGTTTAATATGTTTTTCACTATGGGACAGTAACGCTATTGATAAGTAGGTATCACAAATAGATTTTATTTACAAGAATTTATATTTGAGATATCACTTAATTCCTTTTAAAAAGCTGATTTGTCCTTTTCTTTCATTAATAATGTTTTACAGGAAAAGTGTGATGCACACTAATTCCTTCTTACATTGAAGGTGACATGTATGTTTCCTTAGTAGCACTATCTTGTTAAATAACTCCTGAGCTACCCTGGCCTTTGCTTCAGTGTTGGGGAAATAGTAATGGGACAGTTTTTTGTGTCTCAACTGTGCAAATATTAAGGAGAGTGTCTCCTTCTGAATTTTTTCTCAAAACAGCATTTTCTGCTTTTTTTATCCTTTAGTCCCAAGTGCTGTGCCACTTGAATCCATTCAAGGGAGTACCTTTGAAGAGAAGATTTTTCTTCAATGGAGAGAGCCAGCGCAAACATACGGTGTGATTACTTTGTATGAGGTACATAGCATTTTGCCATGTTTTAATTTTTATGTATAGTTTTGATTTCCCAAAATGCATAATTAGTAACAAAATCTTTGTTTCCAGTTTATGTAAAATGAATCTTCTTTTTGAAGATAGTAGCACTTACAAAGTAATAAAATCAAATATATAACGTAGGAGTGAATTATGCAGGACCCAAAATGTCGCGGGGTTATCAGCTTCAAGAAAACTGCTATTTTTAGAACCATGTGATATAGCATTCTATCTAGTAATGTGGATCAAATATTTAAAAGATTGAAAGACAGATCTTAGTGATTTTTTTAAAAAATAGGAGACATAACACAGTGGTGACAGTCAACATCACATTTAGATAAGACTCATTACAGGAAGCCTATTGTAATAGAAACAAGCAGGCATAATTAAAAAAAATCTAGCATTTTTTAAATGCAAATGCGACAAAATTATGTGTTGTTAGATGTCTAAAAATCGCTGCTTTTCCTCATGTGGAACCTCTGCCTGAATACCTTTTAGAAAAATCGACAAAAGACTGCACAGATTAAGCTGTCAGACAGCAATCACTGTTAAGCTTCTTACCTGACCTTACTACAAAATTGGTATTGAAATGATTTGTTTAAAAAAAAACCCACCTAAATGAGATATGGTGTAAAAGAAAAGTTAAATTGAATGGTAACCTATTGATACTGTTTTGAAAACTATTTTATTGTAAGAGGATAAAATGTTATGAAAAAATATGAATTGATTTTTTATAAAGCTAACTACTTTCCAGCTAGTTCAACAGTTGCCTGTCTTCAGGGATCAGAATGTTTTAGTTAATATGTTAATGTTTTTATTGATGTTAGGCTTCATGTACGTAGAAAAACACAGTAGTGAATCATCTTTCTACTTACAAACATGCATGCGTGTCTAATTACATTGCTGAGGAGTATATGCACTGTATACATGCAGTTAATTCTTAAATGTATATACATACATAACTCCATCCACTGTAATGGGAGTTACGCAGGTGTATTCAGAGGCTGAAAAGAATAGCTTGGCCAGGCTTTCTAAGGTAGTCAAGACTATGCAAGTCTCTGAACATCAAAAGAACCTAGCATTCTAACAGTAAAGAGAATATTGAAAAGAAAATACTGATATCTCCTTATACTTTTATCTAATACACCTCAAAGCAGAGACAGAGGGAACAAGGCAATCAGTTAAATTAGAAACTTGATTCAACTAATTTTTAAGTAAAGGATACCAAGAGACTAATGCAACCAAACTGTACCTTGTTTTAAAGATGCCAACTCAGTTCAGTCAGGTGGCTGAATATAAATGGACACTAAGTTGCTGAAAGCTTGTTTGTCAATACTTTTTCTGCCGTGGTGTTTGCTTATAAGCCTAAAACATATGGCAAAGTTTCTATAAATATGACTGGTTAACTACCTGGAGGCCAGCAAATTTGCACAGTGAATCACAGGGACATTTTAGCTGTACACTTCAGGTGAAATATAAAAGTATACTTCAGGTATGTTTTAGCTAACTTGGAAGTAGCTCACAGGATAATAAGATCCAGACAAGTTAGATGAAATTTAGGTACCTGTGTTTTATAGATTAATTTAGACTACCCGTGATTTCTCAGTAGGCACCTCTCTGGCTGATCGTTGTGGTGTCAAGGTAGTGCATCCAGCACAGCTCCAAATCACCCAGGCTTGAGAAGTGAGGCATCTAGCTCCTGCCTACGCCTTGTTGCATGCCAGAGCTAAAACAAAGAGGCATCTAAGCCTTGGCTGTGTGTACATCAACAATTCGGATCTAAAAAGCATAGCAACTAAAGCTGCTCTTATACAAACATATGCCATATTTGGTATGTTCATGAAAACTATGGTGCTTGTGGCATTCACTTGTCAGAGAATGTCCTAGCAGATGAGCACTAACCTACTAAGGGGGAGGCCTGCGTGGAGGACAGTTCAGCCTGAGGGATTTCCCAATTCATGATAATCTGCCTGCAGGGGAGTGACTCAGGCGCAGAGCTGCAGCAATGGGTGAATGCTCCTTCCATTCACCTGTCACCCTCCACTGGGCTACACACAACCAGGGGTGAAAAAACTGTTGTGCCAGAAGGAAAGCAAGTACAAGCGTGCAGGGTACTTTAGTCTAGAGTTGAAGACACACAGCCTGGGTGAGGCAAAACTGGAAGTATGTAAGCCTGAGTCAGACTTAGGAGCAAGGTTGCTCTTTCCAGGGCAAGCTCTTCAGCTTGATCCCAGCAGATGGATGAACTTCATGTGCAGTCCTGAATCTGCATCCCAGCTCCCAGAGAGAAAGCTCAATCTCACCTGTGTGTCAAGCTCTGAGTACCTAACTTTCTGTGTTGTTAAAAACCCCATACCTTAGTCTGTTTTCTGGGGCTGGGCATTTGTTTTTAGTGCCTGAAGGAGACAATCTTTTAATATATGTGGTGGGAAAAACTCTGTGTTGAACTATCGAGTATTAAAGTATTCATTGCTATTGTGAAATTAAGTGCAAATCCAATTATTTTACCAATATGTAAAGAAAAAAGCCTTTAGATGAAGAAATGACATAATGACAAATTACACCATTTTGTTCCTCTATCACCCGTACAGGACCACGGTTGTAGGAATAAAGGCATTAGTCCTTGGGGCAAGGTTTCATCTGAATTTGATAAAAATAGGCAACACCCAGTGAGAAAATGACCTCATGCCCTTTTATTTTCATCACTGCAAGGCTGAACTGGTATTAGCAATGCTGGACATAAGAAATTAGTTTAAAAAAAAGAAAAAGTAGGAACTGTCTTACAGGTAGGAGTGAAATACAGGAATGGTTCAAGTTCATTTTAACCAGGCAAAACACTTCTTTTTTTCATGTGTTCTGCATGATCCATGGAAGAACTTACTTCATTACAGAACATCAGCCACTTAGCCATCTAATAACTAAATAGTGCAAAATATTTTGCAAGAATCTAACATAGACTGCAGAGTCTCCAATAGGCTGTTATTTTTTTGACTAAAACTGAAGTGAAATTTTGGAAAATCCAGTTAAGAATCATAGAATTATGTAAAACAGAGTTAAAGGGAGTTGCAAGAGGTCATTTAGTTCACATATATGCACAAAACAGGATCAGCTGTATATAAAACATAATTGCAATGTAGTTGTCTGACCTGTCTTTTAAAATTTCCAAAAAAAGTTATGACCACTCTCCCACAAGCAGACGTAACAACACTTATCAGAAAGGGAGATTCTTTGGGGCAATATGTAACCTTAATTTCTTTACTGATGAAAGTTCAGATATTTGCTAGTGTAACCTTCTTCTGTCTTCAGTTACAATTAACAGGGTTGGTTGGGCGGTTTTTAAGATGCTTTCAGTTCAATTTATGGATGAGGAGTTGTAGAGGATCTGCCTGTATCTACCGAAATAATGTCGGGGTTTATCTAGATGGTATCAAAATTTTTATTACTAATTTTCAGCACTGTATTGATGTTATGTTAGATGGGTCATATAAAAATCAATTTTCATTAAGTCAGAAGTTTTAGGAAATTGCAAATGTTTAAGGTGTGTAATGCCGACACTTAGATGTTTCTATGTATTGTTTTGTGTGTCTTCTTAATTATAATGATATGGAATAAATATAGCAAAAAGAGTATCAATTATCACTATATAATAAGAATGTTGGAATTATTCGCATACAAATGAAACTTTGAAAGTAAAAAGGAGGGATGAATCATTTTTACTTTTTAATTTTTTAATGGATTTCTTATTTTTAAATTCTCATTACAGTGCATGGAGATTAGTAATTAATAGAAGAAATCTGGATCAAGTTTTACTGTGAACTTATATTAACATTTCTAATGAAAACTAAAAATACTGTTTGAATCAAAGAAGGAACTGAGGATACAATGTACACTCTGCATATATTACTTAACATTTTATCTCTCCTTTCCTCCAAATGAGAATCTGACCTAGGTACAATATAATAACCTGAAAATTTCCAAATTAGCAATTACAGTCGCTAAGCTTCAGACTAAAATACAAGCTTTACCCACTTTCCGAAAAATTTGCCTTAAGCTGCCCTTATCATCTTTTACGGATAATCTTATTCAGAGCAAAGTGTAATTATAGTGAAGTCAGCTGGAAGTGGGGGCTACACCTTATGTTATTTGCTTATCTGTTTTTACCTGGTTGTTTTGGTTTTGTTATTGCTGCTGATCAAAACCAACAGTAAGATGAATTCAAAAAATGACACTGGTAAAGCCAGCATCTTGAAGGAATTAATGTAAGCTTGAACCCATCCTTTAGAGTTGTAATCTAGCTGCCTCTAAGTCTCTGTATCTATAAAAGTAATAACTCATACCAGTTATGGCTGAATTTCTATGTCCCTTCGTGGGATTTGGGATTTGAAGAGCGTAAGAGAGCAAGATAGCTTATCACAGAATGTCTGACAGCGCATACATCAGAAGGGTTTACTGGATAAAGATGCAATCTCTGTCCATCTGCTCAAGGCAGTTTATAACTTCCTTATTCTTTTGCAGATCACCTACAAAGCAGTCAGTTCCTTTGACCCAGAAATAGATTTATCCAATCAAAGTGGACGAGTCTCAAAGCTAGGAAATGAAACGCACTATGTCTTTTTTGGACTGTATCCTGGCACTACCTACTCTTTCACCATCAGAGCCAGCACAGCTAAAGGCTTTGGACCTCCAATCACGAATCAGTTCACCACTAAAATATCAGGTACTTGATTAAAGGATATTATTGTTTGCTTATGATAATGATATGGGTGATTCTTTTGTTATTTACTTCTTTAGGATTTAACAAGCGACAAACTGAGAAAGTAAAATACATGCTCATCCCTGAAGATGTCAAAGTGACGTACATTAACATATCTGAAAAAATTCCAAGTGCTTAAATATCAGCTCATACTTTGAAATTCCTATTCACAACTGTAACTTATCACCCAAGAAACCCTATGAATTATGTGCCTGCAGTCAGCGCCAGCTGCTGTTGCAACATTTAGCATAGGGTTTTTTGGACATGAGGATGAGGGTTCCATTCAGAGCTTAGTCAGCCTTGACATGATTCTAAATTAGTACAGTAACGGTGCTGGAAAATCTCTTTAATGAGCCATGAACAATTGAGAGTGGAGCAGAAATACTGTATGTCTAGTGCTCGCTTAGAAAGTGTAGCTAACTGCCAGCCTGCGTATGTTCCTAGCGGGCGTGTGGACTGAAGTGGATATGAAACTGTATTAGACAAGAACATCAGGACTCGTGGTTTTCAGATAACAGCAGCATGACTCTGTCACTTCTGCAGAGCCATGAACAGTATTTTAAAGCCCTCCCAGAGGCTGAGGAACACTTTATTTCTCTAGCTGTTGGGATGCGATACTATTACGTACTCTAAAATGCTTATGTAATTGATGACAAAATATTTTGCAAAATTACAGTTCAAATCCCTTTAGTCTTCACTTCTCTACAGTCTTCTTGGGAATTAAACTGACAGCTGAACTATGGCCCCTTGATAATATTTACAGAAAATTACTGTATCTATTTGTGGTCAGCTTTGCTTTTCAGCAAGTATAAAGGCAGGCATCTGGGTACAAAATATTCTTTCTCTTTTGCTCTCATTCTTTTCCCCATCACTCATTTTCTGTCAGCCACTGGAATGAAAAAAAGTAACAAGTGTTAATCAGAAATAGAGCAATTTCTTTTCTCTTATTATAGGCAAAGGAAGCTAATACAAGGTGGAAATTATTGCCAATACAAGTGTTTGTAGAGACAAAGAAAAGTTGTTAATTCTCAAGTTAGAAAATTATTCCTTGTAGAAAGTCTAAACATAATTAACACTGATGGGTAACAAAGGGGTTCGTTTTCCATCCCCTTTCCTATACTGAGCAGAAACTCTCTGTCAGAAATCAACTTCTGACATAGCAAGACTTGATATGAGTTAGGATGGCAGAATCAGCCCTTATTAGAATGAGGAAGGAAGGAGACTGTTGAGAGCGGAGGAGAATCTGGGCATTTGGGAATAGTGCTGGACCTTAAATTGTTGTTCCTTTCTAAATTTGATATGTCACCAACTAAAACTCATTAGTGAAACAGACACTGCAGGCATTCTTGGGAATGAGACTAACCTGCAAGCTACTATGCAGCAAGGTTCTGCAAGCTGTATTGTATGCACCCCACTCTCTCGTTACTTCATGTTAGTTACTGTACTAACAGGGAATGTTTATGACTTCTCTTTAGGTAATTAAAGCCAATCTCTCGATGAATTCAAAATAGAAGCAGAATGCATGCATTTCTTAGTATCATTGAAAAATCACAGCTGAAATTTTAGCTTTTGAATATAGTACCCTCATTGCACTGCTATTGGCCTGTGATCTCACTGTCTCACTGTAAGGCTTTGACGCTCTTGATGTGGCCAGTGCTCTCCATTTTGGAGAGATGTGCAATGAAAATGCATGGATAAAACAAAATTAAAATCATGGATAAAAAGTTTCACTGTTTTTTAGAACAGATGAGGTGGCAATAGTGCATTCTGACCAATTTCTGAATTGAGTAATTCCATTTTAAATTGTCTGACTCTAGACTGCATTTTCATTTGAATAAAATACTCGTAATTTCTTGTCTTAAGTGTTTGAGTAGTACTGTTCTGTACTGTGAGTAGTTGCCATGTTTCATTCTACAGTTGTGTGATTGGCACTGATGGATGAAGTGATCTGTATGTAAATACGTATTACCAAAAGCAGAGCTCGTAGCAGTGCCTGCTATCAAAATTGGTGGGCACTCAGAAGACTGTTTTCTGTTGCATATAACTTTGTGAAAAGTCAGCTGCGCAGGCTGTAATTTTGTATGCTGCTTTTCATACTAAGAAGAATTTCATCCATTTCAGGAACATGGCTGACATCATGAAAAATTCTGGTGACCAATACATTACTGAAGTGCTTTCAAACAGGGGTTTAAATATTTAGCAAGAAGAGAGACATCTGAGCCATCACTCTGAAAATCTGTCCAGATTTGGGCAATTTGTAAATGTTCCCTTTTGCACACAAATGGTGGAAACATGACAGAATTGAGCAGCGAATGTCACCGTAAATGACATCCTCACTAAATAGATTTAAGTTTCCAAGCTTGCCTGTGTATTCATCAGCTCAGTGTGGCCCAACACAGAGTCTGAGCTTTCTGCTGCTGAAGACCAGGGTATGCAGTTGCAAAAACTGTGAACACAAAGAATATCTCGTTTGCTCTGTTTATTGATCAGCTCCTTCTTTACATGTGGGCAGTGTGGAGGAGGAAAGAGTCCTAACAGACAGGAGGGAAGTGTAAGAATAGATAATGCCCAAGTATCTGTGAAGAAGAGAACAAGTAGCAAGGACTAAAAGGTGGGACTGGGAGAACCACAATGTGTGTGCTGGACGGGAACACAGTTTTGGTGGAGGGAGGCTAAGATTAGTAAAGAGTGCATGTAGGGACGTAGGAGTCCTAAGTTAGGAAGATTACAAGACTTGTTAAGATATGGGCAGGAGACCAAGGGCAAGAAATGACACTTACTGTGTTCCAAAACCATTCAGAGTTCATACAGCTTTTTGGAGATGCAGTTACTCTGTGCTTCCCTTATTTTCAGGATGGTCAACCTGAGAATGGGGCATTATGTGAACAAGTTCTGGATATTCAAAACTGCAAAACTGAAATATGTGAAAATTGTGTCTGTGGAATTATGCCTTTAGGCTTCTCAAACTGGGTACCCAAATTACTTAAAATTATTAGTCTAAATGTTTGTGCCTTATGTCCAGGATTGTAAACAGAATAAAACCCTCTCAGCTTACAAGGAGGTTTTTGAAGATTAATTTTTTTCATTTGTGAAGCATTTCAAAACTGGTGAATATCTGTGAAAAGCAATGAAGATGTGTTAATGTTTTCACAGCAGACTGAAGAGTGTTAATGCAATCCTTACTTGGATACATAGGGCAATATGGCTGAAGGAGAAAGAAGTTCATTCACATTTCAAGTAGATGCAGCTACTACTGGGAAGGTGAAAAGGATTGGAAAATACACTTGAAAGACAGACTCATGTTGTTGGAGCTATTTAATTTGCTAGAGGAGCCTAGAGGTTGATATTATCTGTATGTGGAACCTAATATACTCTGAGTAACTTCATCAGTATGGTAGACAAAGTATCCAGTGGCTGGAAGATGAAGCTAAACAAATTGAGGTGCCAAATAGGTCTCCATATTCAACGTGAAGTGTGATTAGTCATTGGAAGAATGTGCTAAAGAAAAGATCTTCTCCCCCAACAAATGTATCTTCTTTTTCAAGCAGGAATTAGTTTAGGGAAGTTCACTGCCTTGCATTATTCCTGTGGTCAGAAAGGATGATTGCAATGACCACTTCTTGTTTCTCTAGCCTTTAAATCTGTTAATTGCATATCTTCATTAACAACTGGACAATAAGGATACAAAAGACTGCTAAACAATCAATTAACCAAGCAGCCTTCCATCCAATAGAATGATAAAAATGTGACTAGATGATAGCACTGAAAAAAGTAGCAACATTAAAAGACAGTAACTGAGGCATCATTTGTTTTAATCACAACTGTAATTCCTTAATGAAGACACAGTTTGCAAAAGTGCTATTGAGTGTAGCTTCAAACTAAGATAAGCTCTTGTGGTGATAATCCTGCTTCATTATTGTAAATTATGTCTGTGGTGGACAATAGACCCAGGACAGTTACAGCACTAATTAAAATTCCAGGAATGACAAATTCCAAGAGTGCATCCTAATACCACTGACGTACTGAGAAAGCTGGGCTCAGTTTCAAAAACTGTACTCACTTCAGCATGCACATTTGCAGATGCTCTTCTTGAGATAACTTTTCATTTCCAAGTCATGGATTCTCAGTACTTTCTGCAAAATTACTCCTACTAGTATCTGTTTCCTGTCTTGAAATTGGCAGTGAGCTGGGATTTCTTTGTGGTTTTTTATTTTCCTGAAGTTATTTAACAGTTGTCTCACACTTGTGCTGTAACAGAAAGCGTCTTAGACCTATAATATGGTCTTTATATTTGAAGAAGTCTTTAAAATTACCTATTCAAATGAAGATACAGCTCTTGAAAGAAGAAATACAGGAATAATGACTATTTTTGCCTCTTTTCTTTTCTTATTCTAGCACCCTCTATGCCACCATATGAACTTGAAACACCTTTGAATCAAACTGACAGCACTGTGACAGTCTTGCTGAAACCTGCACAGAGCAGAGGCGCTCCTGTCAGGTACTGGGGGAAAAATCTTTATAAAATTAAAACCAAATTGATTAATTTCTTGAACGTGTTTTCTGGGGATTTTCTACACAGCAATCAGTGTCTAAATTCATGTCTGTATTAGCTCTAATTAAATTAAATAACTGAAGAAAATGAAAGTGCTTTGATGTTGAGTGTTCGTGTATTGTTTAAAGGATTTGATCCAGATGCAAGTGGCTTGTTCTTTGAAGATGAGGAACAAAGCCATAGTTCTGTTGTGTGGGTGGCTTCTTTAAGGTAATTGCTTACTGCAGTGTTACAAGTTCAAGGGCATATCACATTTTTTATGCTGAGCTACTGTCTTTAATATTCACTCTTCTTGTTACTTCACAGATTTAAGATAATCAACTCTTAGTAAGTTAGCCAATTTAAACAATAGTTACTGTAACATTCATAAAGTATTTACATTTAATTGACCCTGATAGCAGAAATAGAAAAAAAAAATCAACCTGGAAAACCAGTAGCTCAGATTCTTTAGTGTTATATAGTACCCATTAATGAATTTCCAATTTGCAGAGGTTTATTTCACTGCAGATACACAGTACTGTGTAAGTCCTTCATTGATTAGAATAAAAGATGCCTGCTTTTCAGTGAAGAAAACAGAGGAATGGTTAGATTAATTTGAATGAGAACCAGTAATGAGCTCAATACTCTGAGTAAATGAAAATACAGATGAGAGAAATACAGATTTTTCAGAGGTTTATGATGTTTTTCCTTTGGGCTAATCACGTATCATCAAAAATGGTTAATTCTTTTGTTACTGTAGGAAAAGTTTCCACCTATAATGAATGACTATCAATTATTTTCATCATGATGCTAAGGTTTTTGGTAATTTCTTTTTGTCTGGGAAATACAGATCTGGTATTACTCGTATATGTGTGAATGAAAATAAATGTTCTTTGGATTTCTCAAGGATAGGCAATGTTTTATATAATCAGGTTTTTTTACTATGCAACATATTCATTTTTGCATTATATATTATATTTATGTAGGTTTGCATTTAGGAAATGCCATCATGTTGTTCATTCAGAAAACTTTTTATAAAAGAAAATATAGCACTTTGTGGAAGTCTGAACCAGCTGAGAAAAAAACCAAAGTAATTAAAGCAGATTTAATGAAACTGATTTAGCAGATTAGATTAGAAACAGAATGATTTGATGTTTGTCTTACTTCATCTCACAAAGCTATAGTGTAGTCCTTCTGAATTCAAGCACCTGGATTACAATAATACCAGTTGGACTCATTGTTGTTTAAATACAAACATATTAGACCATTAATAAAAAAACAGTTTCATTCCTTTTATCTGCATCATGAACTAAAGATGATTGACTCCTATAGCAGTAGTGACACATCAGAAACTTCACTGACAACAGAAAAGAGCTAATTAGGAGATTAAAGTGTGCCAAATAAAGGGATGAGTAGTTAGGAAAATAGGAGGAGAGATTTAAAGTAACATGCAGTTATAGAACTGACAGATGAACACAGAGCAACAAATTTACTGAGGTCCTTTGCAACAGGTCTTAAAATAAAATGAATGCTGACTGCAAACTCACAATGTAAATACAGAATGAAGCAGAGTGAAAATTAAAGCAAGAATTTCTTAATACTTTTAACATTTTACTGTGCATTACACTCTCAAGCACACTGTCATTGCATACCTTGCAGAACAGATTCTGCATATGGATTTTATCATCTTAATCTGTATTCATTGGGTGTTAAAAGTTTAGTCATACTTCATTTATGCACACCACTAAGCAAGATGCCTTGTCTATCGATTCTGCTACAACTACCAGCTTGGTTAATGCAGATTTTTGAAACTGCACTAAACTTGCAGTGTAAATTATTGTTGTTGTTTTATTGATCAACACATCAGCCATGTCACATAAAATTCTTTCATTCCTGAGATGGATAAGGAGAGCACAAATTCTACCATTCAAGTCAACAAAGCTAATACCTGAAGTCATTCAGAATTCCAGCTTTTTTCTGTGATTAAATTCTTTTTCTCTACTTAGATATGAAAAATCCCAATATCTTATACCTTATTTAGAATCCACACACAACCACTGCAACACAGAAGGAGAGAGAGGGCAATGCTGACTGTTTAAATGTTGATTCAAAAAGCAGACTTCACAGAAATGTTCAGGAAGCTCTGTTTACAGTGATAAAGTACACATTAATCATGAAGGCCAAATGGCATTCCAGGTTGGTTTAGAATTCATAAGACTGGACATGATTAAAATGTATTTTGTCAGAGTTTTAATACAACAAATACTGCTTGCTTTGTCTTCAATTTCAGGTCCAGCATGTTTTATGGCTGTTGCTGTGTTTATTTCAAGGAGATTATTTCGGAATTATATATGTTTAAAGCAGCAATGCATTCAGTAATGATGAATGCATGCACTTCTTTAACAGCTGGCTAAGCTATTTTGATTTTTAGAATGACTGTAATTTGCAAGGCTTTTTTTTTTAATTTAAGACAATGGCTCTATGAAAATTGTGTAATATATGTCTTATTGCGGATATTCTCTTTTTTTCAAAGATATGTGTATGTAAGAGTCAGTAAAGTTTTAAATAATTTACATAAAAAGCATACAAATCCAAGTATTTTTTTCCTGTGAGGGCTCTTCAACATCTATTGAGGGACTTATTCTTCCAAGGCAATATCATTTGTACTTTTACTTCTTCAGGGCAAGTTAGCCTAAAGTTGGTCACAACAACCCCATGCAGCGCTACAGACTCGGGCAAGAGTGGCTGGAAAGCTGCCTGGTGGAAAAGGACCTGGGGGTGTTGATTGACAGCCGGATGAATATGAGCCAGCAGTGTGCCCAGCTGGCCAAGAAGGCCAATGGCATCATGGCCTGTATCAGAAATATTTGTGACCAGCAGGAGTAGGGAAGTGATTGTGCCCCTGTACTCAGTGCTGGTGAGGCCGCACCTCAAATACTGTGTTCAGTTTTGGGCCCCTCACTACAAGAAAGATGTTGCATTGCTGGAACACGTCCAGAGGAGAGCAACCAAGCTGGTGAGGGGTCTGGAACACAAGTCATACGAGGAGCGGCTGAGGGAACTGGGGTTATTTAGTCTGGAGAAGAGGAGGCTGAGGGGAGACCTGATCGCCCTCTACAACTGCCTGACAGGAGGCTGCAGGGAGGTGGGGGTCGGCCTCTTCTCCCTGGTAACAGAGGATAGGATGAGGGGGAATGGTTTGAAGCTGCGCCAGGGCAGGTTTAGGCTAGACATTAGGAAAAACTTCTTCACCGAAAGGGTTGTCAGGCTCCGGAATGGGCTGCCCAGGGAGGTGGTAGAGTCCTCATCCCTGGAGGTATTTAAAAGAAGGATAGATGAGGTGCTTAGTGACATGGTTTAGTGGTGGGATGTCAGGGTTAGGTTAGCGGTTGGACTCGATGATCTCAAAGGTCTTTTCCAACCAAAGTGATTCTGTGATTCTATGATTCTATGAAAGTTTAAAACAGCCTGGGACCGACTTGTCCGCAGCTACATAGATTGGTCAGTTCCATTTACTTCAACTAAGGAATGCTAATTTATTGCAAAGATCTGGCTCATACACAGAAATGAAAAATGTAGTGCTCAGTGACTGCATGTGTTTAGTCTTATTTATATATTCACCTATGTTAGAAAGAGCTTTAGATTGTTTGCTGCATTTCGTTATAAAAGGTTCTTCTGACCTTCTCTGGATAAGTTTTCCTGCAAGCTTTTAGCTTCAGCAGGGAGAAGCACGTTTTCTTTGTCGCACAGATTTCCATTTAGTCTTGCCATGATAAAGGTTGAGTGTTTCCACTTCTTTTATCTCACTTACGTAATCAGCAAAATGCTGTCACCATACCACCCTCCTCCTGTTATTCTGTGCCACATCCTCAAAAAGCTTTCGGAGTAAACATCACAAAGATTTTGGCCCAGATAACACCGGAACCACCTGGCAATAGCAAGCACTCTGGGAGCTGCCGACTGGGGAAAGGAGCAAGAAGGATAAGAAAGAAGGCAAGACTGCTCTGCCTCCTGGTCTCTTTCTCATATTACATTACGAAGCTTGGCTCAGTTGGATTTGCCCCATTAAACCTTCTAACCAGTTAATGGTCCATTCAGCCACGCTTTCTGCTCTTACCGACACCACAGACAGTTGGTACTTTCCTCTTCCAGCCTAAAGTGAGAGGAGGGCTGAGCGTGTCAACTAGCAAGGCCCTGTGGATGCAAGGCTTGGCATTTAGGATGCCAGCCTGCTTCTCTCGCTGAGGGGGTGGGATCAGTCCTGCAGCACCTGGGGCTGCAAGGCCCAGACAGGATGAGAGGGAGAGAATTGCAGCAATTGCCAAGTAGTATAATTTAAAAGTACCTTAAAGAAAACATGCAGAAGGAAGCAAATAAACTCTGAATTATGCGAGTTGAAAGCTGAGAGTGAAGGCAGTCTGTGTACTCTCAATGCATCCCCTTTATCATCAGTGTGCCCACCTTCTTCAACATGCATAAGTAAGAACAACCCTACTGGGAAAGTAAAGCAAACGTCTCTTGACTTGAAGTGCTTAATTTTGAAACGTACTTTTAATCTGTCTTCCCTGAAGCAGTAATGTATATTATATTTCAGCCCAAAAGGCCATATTAAGTTATTAAGTATTTTGAAGTGCAGCTGAAAACTACCACGGAAATTTCAAACTACATGTTATCTAAAGTGATAAGCACTCCCTTCTACTACTTTATCAGATAAACACTTCATGAATGTGTTCAGATTGTCTGAATTCCACAGAGATTTGCATTACTTATTGGCCTAATTCAGACCTTTAAAGGCACCCTGTAAATACTGTGTTGGTTGTCACAGGTAGAATTAAGGCCATCTGCACATGGTCCCTGGGATAGGAACAGCATGATTCAAAGGAAGATGCATGGTGTAAAGAAACCTTTGTCAGCCCAAATCCAGGGATTTCTTAATTCTGTATGTGGCTTAGCCATTTCAACAACAT